AGCCTGGAAAGAAGAATTAAGGTTGTTCCAGGTCAATATTAGGAGGTTGGTAATTTCTAATTATTTCTGGATTATTATAGAATAAAAGTATTTTACTTTATTTATTTATTTATTTATTTTTTTAAAAATATATTTTATTGATTTTTTACAGAGAGGAAGGGAGAGAGATAGAGAGTTAGAAACATCGATCAGCTGCCTCCTGCACATCTCCTACCGGGGATATGCCCGCAACCCAGGTACATGCCCTTGACCGGAATCGAACCTGGGACCTTTCAGTCCGCAGGCCGACGCTCTATCCACTGAGCCAAACCGGTTTCAGCAAAAGTATTTTATTTTAGACAGAAAAATATATTGATGTATAACAAAGTAAATATTTTGTACAACACAAATTAACTGATAGAATCTTGTAACTAAATCTACCGACATCCTTAGACATAGTGTTCTTTGTTAACAAGCATGTTTTCCTGTAAGTAAAGGGAAATTCATGATTTATGAGTTTAATTGCTCATTTAAAGTTGGTTCAGTTTCCTCTGAACATACAGATAAATTTATAAGGCCAAATTTGTACTTTAGTGACTGTCATATGATAGGTTGTGTGCTATAGCTGGAAAATTAATTATTTTAAACTCCCTCAATACATGCTCTGTTTTCCTGCTGTGTTTAAAATTGCATTGGATATCAGACTTCAAGGACAGAATGAGAAAAAAAAACAGCACAGCTTAGGAATAGGAAAGAAGGCATTTAAAAGATAAACTTTTAGCAAGCTTATAAAAATAGGGAAATATTTTTAAATATTGTACCTTGCTTATTTTAATAAGTATAATTTATCGTAAATGTTCAATATCAATAACTTTATGGTTGTTGACAATTATGGATAGTTATAATTAGTTTTAAAAGTCAATTCAAATACTTGGATTGAGGGATTTTTCAGCAGATTCTTGTCACAGTAGAGAAGTATTGGTTTGAAATCAGTAAACTTGCCAAACATTTGGGTTTTATATTCTAGGTCTATCCTGATCTTTGTGTCATTGAGGCTCCTACTAAGTAAATGCTTAATTAGGTTTCATTTTGAAAGGTTCCTGCTCCCAACGTAGACTCCTCTGCCCTTAAAAAAGTATCATTGTATGATCAGCTTTTAATAATATGTAAATGCTAATATACACTGAAAGTCTTGAGACTTCTCTTTCATTGTTAGGAATCTTTTTAACAAATGCTTGGTCCTTTAGGACATATGTTTACTCAGGTGCAATTAAATCTGATAGTAGGACCAATTGTATGTCTGTTGTCAATGTTGATAAATGGGAACATTAGCCACTCAATGAAGTTTCAAATAGTGTCATGCGCCCTTGTTAAAGACTTGCATTTATGGATAAACATGACCCCCTTGTATGTGCCTTTTTAAATTAAGTTGATTACAAATTATTATTTTTGTTTGAACTTAATATATTCAGTTGTAATGTAATAGGTAATTCATTATATTGACAAGGGAAAATTTTGGGTTCACACAATTTTATATAAAGTCACCATTATGTTAATTCTCATGAGCTAACCAAATATCTTAATGACACTGATTACTTTATGTATCTGTTTATTTTCAGTAGATTGTTTTTATTGGAAGGACCAATACAGACAACTTTCTTATATATAAAAAATGTTATACTACTTTACTTGACTAAAAGCCCATTCTTTTCATAGCTTGCACCTGGATGGTACCTTAAATTTTAAAATGTTTGTTCAAAAATAGCTTACTATAAGTGATGAAATGCTACTTACTATAAGTGATAAAATGATACTTTATAAATGTCATCTATTTCAGTATATTATATGAAAATATTTTATTTCTCTTTTGTAGTTCATATGGTTGAATGAACAACAACAAAAAAATACTGGGCATTCTCCTTTATAAAGCCTTTATAATTCTTTTTTAAAAAAATATATTGATTTTTTTACAGACAGGAAGGGAGAGGGATAGAGTTAGAAACATTGATGAGAGAGAAACATCAGTCAGCTGCCTCCTGCACACCCCCTACGGGGGATGTGCCTGCAACCAAGGTACATGCACTTGACCGGAATCGAACCTGGGACCCTTCAGTCCGCAGGCTGACGCTCTATCCACTGAGCCAAACCGGTCAGGGCAAGTCTTTATAATTCTTAAGTCTAAAACTAATAACCTGCCATAGATGTGACAGTAATGGACACTAAGAAAGGGTATACTTTTACTGCCCTTAATTACTCCAACCGGTTATTGGTGAAATGAACCATTGGAAAGAGTTCTCATTAGAACTACCATTAACAGCACTGAAAAGTAGAATGTTTGTGGCAAAGTAACAATTAAGGAAAAGAGGGGAGATAGGAAGAGTGGAGGGGTATGCTTAGCTTCTTAAGGTTCACTGAAGTCTGATTCATTACAATAACATACGTGAAATAAGTCTTTATATTTTATTGCCATTTAAATAAGATATGGCTGTTCAAATAATATTAGTTGACTATGTTTCTCTTTTTAAAAAAAAGCTGTTTTCATAAAATAGTTTATAATAAAAGCTAATCACAGGAAGACAAGAAATCCAATAAAGATTTTAATATATTTGGTACATTGAGATTTTATGATTTAAATGAATATTATATCTGCTAATTAAAGTTAAATTATTTTTATATAAGACTAGTTAAGATCTATTAATGGGACCTCTCACATAAATGATGAAAAAATTATTTAATGGGCACTTACAGTTGGTAGTGAGATCATTGTCAAATCTTTCATTTTCATCCTTTGATGTAGTAAAAATTTCGTATAACTTTCTTAAAATGTTAACTTATTGGTGCTAAGTGTTACCATATTCCTCAAAGAGTAAAAGCATTGGTGAATTACTTGCATAGTTATAGCATGTTCCTCTTTTTAAAAACATTCTAATTAAATGCTATATAATAAAATGTCAAGTTCGGGTATCACCATGAGAATATTTTTTTGCTTTTTCCTTGTTTGATGTTTTATTTCACGTTTTTGTTGGGACATATAGCATCTAGTAGAAAGAAAGTTGGCCTGTAATCAGGAGACCTCTGTCTATTTCTGGTTCTGCCACTGAACTTGTTTTGTGACCTTGGGTAAGTCACTTGAATTCTATGTGTCTCAGTTATTCTCTAAAATTAATGATTGGTTTGAGAAGAACTTTGAATGTTTGAACCCATATAACATAGAAAACATTCCTGCAGCGCCATTATAAAATAATCCAAGATACAGGAAAATAGTAGGTAGAGAAAGAAATATTTGTTGTTTTTATGTTTTATACCAAAAAATGTTTTCTTAGAGATGGAATATGTATAAGCAGTTACTTTATCCACTTTATGCCAATTTTATTTTAACATGTGAGGAAACTATTTTAGTAGTATAATAAATATGTCTGTAGTGAAATTTTGCATAGGAGAAAGAATGCAAGATATAATACAATTCAGCTGTCCTATGATATTAATATATCTCTGATTTTTCTACCTTTTCTTTGAGAAATGGATGGATTGGGGATGGAAAAATATGGCATATATCATATTAATGTATGAGTACAATAATGTTCTAGAGGTCAATCCTATGAACAGAGTTTGGGTTGTACTATAATTATGATGAGATTTAGTGTCTCATTATGGATAGGTCAAAGATGTACTTGTATAATAATCAAAATTACATTATTAAGTTTCAAAATGTGTTATCCTTTTCAGTTCTCTATATTTCATACGAGGATTCCTTTTTCTCATAAGAAAAACATTTTGGTCATGTATGTTATCCTAGTGGAAAGTTTTCATTTTCTCAATATTCAGGAAAAGAGAGAAATTGGTTATAGGAAGAAATGCTCTAAAGAGTTATAATTCCAATATACCAGTATTCCAAGTGCAGTTTGATACAATATGGTCTTCTATAAACTATGATACAACTATTGCAGAAGTGAATGTAGTGGTTTTATTTAAGAATTTTGTGGTACCTGATTTAAAGCTTAAGTAGGTAATTGAAATAGGAGATTTCGGTTTTGTTATGTTGTGTTCATGTGTCGATCATACTAACACTAATTCACTAATATCTTTGGAAGAATTTTTTTTTGAATGCTGAATTTAGCAGACCTTTCCTGCTTTCAATCACTGTTTAAAATGTCTTTCGAACTTCTCTACAGCCAATGGGGAAAGACTGTTTCCAAAATGTGTGCCATATCTGTTATAGTAGATGTTGGATTTGGATGGGCAGATTTGAAGAGAGAAACATCAGTGATCGATGTGGTGTCTGTAAGAACTTTCTTAATAAATAAGCATTATCAGGGAATCCAATCCAATAAAATTGGCCTAAATTGAAGGTTAATTTGAATTTTTAATATTTACATAAAGCCATATATTTCAGCTACTCTTCTCATAATGAATTTTATTATATTTGTTACTCTCCATCATATGTTATGATATTTTGCTGTACTGAAATCATTTAGTAAATGTTGGCCTGATGACTGTACTTTATTTTCATGCGTGCACTGATCTATTTGGGAAATTTAAAAAGCATAAAATCTGTTGGAACTATTTTTATTGCTCTCTTTGAAGATGTTTCAATTAAATTTTATTTTTTACGTGATAATTAAAAATCCTAAAAGGATTTTCACTGATCCTAAATGGACTCAGTAACGCCTTAAACAATATGGTCACACTAGTAACATGGTTTTTATTCACGGTCTCTTCCTTCAGCATCAGTGATCAGGATTGGCTGTCCACAAATAATTATAACCTTTTGAATCCGCTTTTTCTCTACACTAACTTTATTTCTCTGATCCTACTAACCCATAGTAGCTTAACCAATTCATCATCAGTTCTTCCCTTTTTTTTATAGAATGTGTTTGATTATATCTTTCCTACCATTATGCACAGGATTCTTTCTCCAAATGATTTGGGCTCTTTCCTTGCGTGTCACTTTTACCCTTTGAGTATCTCCACTCACACCCATCTCCTTTGTCTATGTCTGTCATTACACGATGTGGTCACAGAAGACGTGGACCCCACCAGGAGAAGACATTCAGGTCTGTCTCTTCTACTGCTTTTCTCTGCTATTTTTTTATTTAGCTAACTTACCTTAGGAAGTTTTACTATTTTTTAAATTTAATTTTGCATTCTCCCCTAATATAACAAAATGTTAAACTCTTTTAGGTATTTTCATTTTAGGTAGTTGTATAGTCAACTTTTAACAACAGCTGCTCCTATTAGATGGGTGAAAATAAAATGATTAATTTTTGTGTTATATATAGAGAGATTTCCTCCCATATATATTTATGATCAGTTAGATTACATAAGTTAATTATAATTTGCTCTTCAACTTATTTTAGACTTAAAACTTGTGCTCCACTCTTTTTTATATAATAACAAAAGCATTTTATTTCTATCATGAGTTCGGCAATGTGCTAAACTGTGGAAAATATGAAAGACCTACATGCCCTAAGCTATCAGTATCATTGAGAAGTTAAAATATGTGAGTAACATGTTATGTTTGTGTGCCAATGTGGGTGACTCTAACAAAGGTATAAAGTCAAATAAAATTTATTTTAACTAAATGGCCAGACAGGCTTCATGGAAGAAGTAACACTTGCAGTAAAACTTGAACATTCATTCAACACTCATTTAAAAAAAATTTTTTAATTGATTTTTACAGAGAGAGGAAGAAGGGAGAGAGAAATAGAAACATTGATGAGAAACATCAGTCGGTTGTCTCCTGCGTGTCCCCTACTGGGCATGGAGTCCTCAACCTGGGTATGTGCCTTGACAGGAAATCTCAACCACCAACCCACACCCAGCCAGGCCATTGAACATTCATTTTTTAAGCACCTGCCGTGTGGTACTGTTCAAGGTGCTGGAAATAACAGGGCACAATACAGCCCCTATTCTTGTGGGCTTTTCTAATGTGGGTCTGTCAAGTAAACACAATAATATTACAGGTATAATGAGAAATTATATATCTATATATTTAACATTTCATATATATTAGTGGAATCACAAAGTGTGATCACTTCCACCTGAAAAGGGTAGATATTAGTTCAAGAAAGACTTCATAGACAAAATGACCTTTGAGTTGCATGTAAAAAACTAGAAAGATGTTGGCCTTATGTGTAGAAAGCATTTCAGGGAGGAGAAATGATATAGGCAAAATAATTCAAACAGGTTCAGAAACGTAGGCAGGGAAGGGGTCTGAAGATGGTGTAGGTTATTGAAGCATAAAGTAGGGGAGGAACAAGATCAGATGTTTCTTTCTGGAAAGATTAGAAGCTATATTTTAAAAAATGTACCTGTGCACTATAAGCAGAAAGATAATTTATGAGGATAATTCATCAGTCAGTTAAGAGATGATAATGAGCTGAATTAAAGTATCAGTAGAGGCAATTGGTACATCAAAGGTTATTTAAAGGCTTAGTTACAGATTAGATATTATCAATGCAGAGAAAGGAGGAATAAGGTAAAAATCTCAGGTGACTGACGTTTGGAGAGATGGTGGTACATGTATCGAGAGGGAATATAAGTTTTAGGGGAAAAACAAAAACTGTGATTGGGAGTTACAAAGTAGTCATGGGGATGTAAAGTATAGCATAGGAAATATAGTGAGTAATCTATAATAATGAAAGCATGATATGCTAATTAGACCGGACGCCCTTCCTTCCGGACAAAGCCACAGTGGGCAGGGGCTGAGACAGAGGTGGTAGAGACCCCTGGCCAAGGTGGCGGTGGGGGGCGGGGGGCTAGGGCCAAGGCCCTTGTATGAATTTCAGGCATCGGGCCTCTAGTATTGTAACAACTATGTGTGGTGCCAGGTGGGCACTGGAGATATCAGGGGGAACACTTTGTAGAGTAAATGATCGTCTGACAACTGCAGCCACTGCAGTGGTAGCTGCAGCTCTATGGCACTGCCTTTTCTCCTGGCATGAGGAAGCTGAAGAGTGAGTTCTCTCAGTTCTAGTGGTAGGCCTCTAACACTGTTAGGTTGGAACTGGGTCTGTATTAACTAACACTGGAATTTAGGCTTCCACACATTCTCCTAAGCCTAGAAATAAATGAAGACAAGTGCATTCTGTTTCAAAGGAAATAAGAAGTAAAGAAAGAATGACAGAGAAGATAATAAGAAAAGCTTCAGAAAGAAAAGGAACTAATTTTAGAAGAGAAAGGAGTAAATTTTCTAACAAGCAACTCAGAACGGATTTCACTTGTTCAATAAAAGTTACCGGAAGTTAAGGCATTTCAGAAACGTACTGGAGTTTGTGACCAATAAAATGTAACATCTGTATTAAGCGATCACATCTCTAATGAATAAGTTGGTATTTTTCTCATGAACACAAGCTATTAATACTTCAACCCAAATGTGATGGAAACATAATTTCATAAGGTTAATCTTTTCCCTGACATATTAAATTGAAGCGTATGTTTATGTTTTACACCAAAATCATAGGATCTTCATTTGTGTTAATGGATCCCAGTATAGTCACTGAGGAATGGAGTTCAGCACACATTATGAAGCACCAAAAAACATTGATTGTAGCCCTCGCAAATCATAATCAAGTTTAGTGAGCTTTATTAATGTTTACACTTTTTCTTCTTACTCTTATGAAATTTCATCTGACAAATACTTTTATTTTTATTTTTCTTATTAATCCTCATCTGAGGATTTACAGTTACAAATATTCTATATTTTTGTAATTTGGAAAAAAATGAAAATAATATCTATAAAGAAGTTATTGCAGAGTTTTGTCCACACTAAATAATCAAAAAATGGTAGCTCTTAATTTATTACTACGAAAACAGTTATATCAAAAGTTTATTTTAACAGACAGATATACTTATGTAGCTCTTTCCTTATGATTTATGCTTGTTTTTAGAAAAATCACACGTTTTGAATTTAAATTTAATATATCAATAATCTATAAACAATGAACTACTAAAGGGTTTAGATAATCTAACCCATCTCTGTTTGTTTAAAAATAGAGAGAAAATAATTTTAATGGTAGAGGTAAGCATTAGACTGTACTTACTACCATTTTCGTTACTTATTTGTGGCACCAGAAATAAGGCAAACTACTTAAGTCTAGATACTTTTTAAAAACATATTATGCTTCCTTTGAAGAACAATCAAATAAGTTATGCCTTATTCTCTATTGCCTTATAAAGAAACATGTTGGTGAGCAATAAAGTATGAGACTCAAAGGCCTGTGTGATCTTAAGTATTCATTGGTAAAAGAGAATTGATCATTTGTGTGTGTGTGTTTACTTTCAATCAACAGAAGAATAAAAACAAATGACCTGCCAAGATAAAAACAAAAAAACAAAAAACTATTTCAAGAGTAAGCAAATAAATGCCTAGAAAGAAAAACAAACAAAAGAAGTGTGGGCTACCACTTTTCTCATGTAGGACTGAAGGGCTGTTTTAAAGATGAGAGAAATTTTTTAAAAAGTCTATGGCAGGTTGCCAAAATGATATTTTTTAACATTTTTTAAATTATTCAAACTTTCAGATCTCCTCTCAAGATATTTTTAACACACACAACATACATATTGCTCAGAATTACAGTAAATTACAGGTTTAATGTATAAATAATGAAAATGGGTCTTGATTAAGATAGAAATAAAAATCTAAAGCAGAAACTATTAAATCTATAATGATAAAAGCACAATATGCTAATTAGACCAGATGTCCTTCCGGGCGACCTTCCGGACGAAACCAGGGCTGCGAGGGAAGCCCAGGTCCCGGGTGCCTGCCGGTGGCCAGAGGGAAGCCAGTGCTGGCAGCCGGGGGAAGAAAGGCCTACTCTTGCATGAATTTCGTGCATCGGGCCTCTAGTACCCTTATAAAATACCCAAATAATCTATTCGGCTATACTAGGCTCAAGTCATTCTGTAGGTATCATAATAGCATACTAAACTATTATATACATGATTGGCTTATATAAAGGGAAGGTTATTTCTGAAATTCTTATTCCAGTGCCATGAAAATATTTCACATTCTAAAAATTCATTTGTTCAACAAATATCTACTGCCAGGTTTTATTCTAGGCCAGGGGTCCTCAAACTATGGCCCACGGGCCACATGCAAATACAAATATTGTATTTGTTCCCGTTTTGTTTTTGTACTTCAAAATAAGATATGTGCAGTGTGCATAGGAATTTGTTCATAGTTTTTTTTTTAAACTATAGTCCGGCCCTCCAACGGTCTGAGGGACAGTGAACTGGCCCCCTGTTTAAAAAGTTTGAGGACCCCTGTTCTAGGCACTGGGGAAGTAACAGTGACAAAGACAGTCAAGGTCTTTCTCATCATAAAAACTTATATTATTAGGAAAGTAAATAGTAAACAAGACAGGTTTATTTTTATTTTTTTGTTAATCTTCACCCATTGATTTTTAGAGAGAAAGAAGGGAGGGAGGGAGGTACAGGGGGAGAGAGAGAGGGAAACAGAAGCATTGATGTGAGAGAGACACATGGATTGGTTGCTTCTTTATGGAGCCTTTTATGACTTGGGTAGGGAAGGAGTTCTTTTAAATAGGGTAATCCAGTAAGTTTTTTCTAAAGAGGTCATATTTTAATTAAAACAAAAGAATAAGAAGAAACCAGCTATGCAAATTATCCATAAAGATCAATAAGCAAGATAAAGCAAGGGCATTAAAGTTCAGAAGAGGAGAATAATTTGGGCTATAAATATTTTTCTGAAAATGCATTAAAGTATTGGTGACACATAAGAGTTTTAAATAGTTAAGATTTGTAGTGGCCCTGGCCCGGTAACTCAGTTGGTTAGAGTGTCATCCCCATATGCCAAGGCTGTGGGTTCAATTCTGTCAGGGCACATATGAGAACCAACCAATGAGTGCATAAATAAGAGCAATGAATTATGTCTCTCTCTCTCTCTCTCTCTCTCTCTCTCTCTCTCTCTCTCTCTCCCCCTCCCTCCCTCCCTCATCCCCCATTCCTCTCTCTAAAATCAATTAAAGGAAGATTTGTAGAGAGGTGAATGAATAAAGTATAGCTCTGGATACTAGTTAAGTTATGATAAAAA